GACGAGACCTCATAGCCGCAGTTCCGTGTCAAGCCTACCAGCACAGCCTCGAGCCCTGCCTAGTCCACCGTACTTGGACGCCTCCACGTCGCGACCAGCGACTCCGCGGCCACGACGTCGCCGCGGCATCGGCGCGTCTCTTGGCAACCAAAGCCTCTCCCTTCGCTACTGCCTCGATTAGGCCTAGGTAGCCGCCTGCGCACAAGCCTTTACCACCGCCTCACCCACAGCCGCGGATGGGAACACAGCGTCGAGCACCTGACCGACAAGGTGCCCTGCTCCCTTCGTTTTCACCCTAAACCATAGAGCCCAGCCAATCCAACCTGCTAGGCCTTTTGGGGCACTAGCCTAGTTGGCCACCTGAGGCCTAGCTCGGTCCTCCTGCAGATGGGCCACCGTCGCGCAAGTGAGCCCACTTGATTCCTAGCCCTTTTTCCATTTATCTGTTTTCAGAAATCCTTGCCAACTTCAAAAATTCATAGAATATTCATTCTAGCTCCAAAAATTATCAAACTAGTTTCATAATTTTCTAAAATCCTGCCCAACCTCCTAGTGCAGTTTTTGAGTCTAGTTGAGTTAGGTTTTTATTGCGGTTTTATTGGTTCTTATTGGTGGCCGTTCTCGGTCATTCCTTTGCGTAGCGATGACTCGAGCTCGGATGGATCCGACGACGTACCCGGAGGTGATGGTTCCTGATGGTGGACGACCCTGACTTTTGGAGACACGTGCCACTACCTCCTCGACATCGCAGGTGTCATGGCAGCACCTTATCTTAGAGAATCCTATTAGGCATTGCAAGTAAAATTGCTAGCGCTTTATATTTATTCCTTTGCTAGTCTATGTGATGCATGCTTGCCTGAGCCTTGATTGCCTTGATTGAAACCTCTTCACCCTGACAACTCAGCTTTGCGCTCGCACTTATAATTTTGCCTACCTGCTTGCATTTACTTCCATCATTATTACATATATGTCTTTGTTATGTGATGTGATGGTTGGATGGTGATGTGGTTGGTGGATCAGGGTTGGCCGTGAGACTTCCCCATGAGGTAGATGGTAGTTTGGCTCGACGGGAGCGTTGAATCCCGTGTGGGTGGTGGTGATTGAGGAGTTATGGAGATATTCCTTGCCTTGACCTGTTTCTTTGGTGATACCGGCCGAAGTGAGAGGATTTACCCTGGAGGGGTGCACTTGGTGCATGGGGTGCCCTGGATCTGGTTTTGATGAATATGATGGATATGATGTGGCAGGCGTGTGGTGGTGGCTACCCATGAGAGGTGGGCCACGTGATATAGGTGGAAGGTGCTTGCTCTGGCCAATTAAGGACCATCGTGGGTTGATGCCTGGGACATGGGACTATGTTTAACGTGCACGCCACAGGCCCTGAATGGGTGGGGCCTGTTCTGTTGAGTTAGTGCGGACTAAGCTAGTTCTGTGGGAGGAAAGGTGCATGGGGTTTAGCCCTAGAAGCATAGTGAGAAGGATGCCGACGGTTTTTTCGGCTACCCTAATCACGATCCCAAGTGTATATGTCGTGTCGTATGCTACTCCACTTGGGGGCAGACTGGCGAGGAATGTGCTAGTTCTTGAGCGGTGTTCGCCTGACGCCGCGCAACGTCGATGATGGTGATCCTGTTGGGTCTAGGTGTACACACTCTACAGAGTTAAAACTATACGTATAGCCATGATCTCGGTCATGATCATTCATGTGAACTGTTTCACCCCACTAGTCTTCTCTTGTGCTTTGCTTTTCTCCCCCTGAAGCTAAGGTACGGCTTGAGGCCGATTAGACGAGGGGCGTGCGGAGGCCGCCTCATCGCTTAGACTGAGTGTATGAGGGTGATGTGAGGGATGATGAGAGGTAAGATGTGAGATATGATGACCGAGTGGTTGGTGAGAGTGAGTGCTTGGATTGGGATTAGAGAAGAATTATATATATTTACGCTTCTGCATGCGCTAAGGATGCAAACCACAGCCAAACTATTAGGATCGCCAGATCCCTTTATTTTCTATTTTCCACTAAAGCTCGTCGGTGCTGACCATGGCCTGCACACATCTGATGGTGTGCAGATTTCTTGACTTGTAGTGATGTTGAGATTAATAGCTGGTTTCGTTCTACACTCAAGGATGCCTCTGGATTGGAGACCGTCAAGCTTCACTTGCACGATAGAATGACGGTGATTTGATTGTTGTTAGTTATATCCAAACTATTGTAATATAACTATTTATGCACTCTGATGTTGTATGACTCTATAATCAGCTGTAATTTGGATGCCCGTGATAGCCGAGATATCCTGGGACTATCACAGAGGAGTAAAAAGGTCGGAATTCCTATTTTGGAAATCCCGGTCTATTACACCATGACCCAAACTTGCTGGCTACCGTAGTTCCACACCAAGTAGGCCATGGCCGCCGTCGACGTTCTGTGTTTCAAGTGTTCTAGGCATTTCAGACTTTGTGTTTCAACTTGTTTTATCTTGATGTTGTAAAAGTAGATCTGTAATGTTGCATATATTGCAATAACAATGTATGCATGTTGTAAGCCTTTGTTTCAAGTGTTTTCCGTTGCTTCAAATATACCCCCTCCGTTCTAAATTATAAATCGCTTTAACTTTTTTGGTTCATCCATTTTGCTATGTATCTAGACATATTATTATATCTAGATGCATAGCAAAATAGATGTACCAAAAGAAGTCAAAATGACTTATAATTTGGAACATAGGGAATATGTGTCAAGTGTTTTATCTGGATGTTGTATATGTTTGCTATGGCTCTATGCGCATGTGTTTAAGTGTTTCAGATGTTTCAAAGTCATGTTGCAAGTGTTTTATCTGGATGTTGCAAAAGTAGGTCTCGATGTTGCATATGTTGCTATGGCTAAACACGCATGTTTCAAGCGTATATTTCAAGTGTTTCATCTGTTTTAGACGTATGTTGCAAGTGTTTCATCTTAATGTTTTAAAAGTAGATCTGGGAGAGCACATGTTTCAATGATGCCAGCGTGGCTGGCGGACAGCTACTTGCTAGTGCTGGGAGGTGCCGTCGTGAGTCACCGTGCGGGCACCTTTGACCAATAGCCGCCTCCGCGGCGTGCATCCGCAGGCAGGGCACGTGAACGGGACCCACGTGGACTGGGAATGGGCTGCTGGGGCGCGGGATGGGCGTGGGGGCGTTGTGCGACGTCCGGATGCGGGGACGTCGGACGATGGATGGGATGTGGATTCGGGTGGTGGGATGCGGTGCGAGATAACGCACGGGAGCTGCGTGCGGACACGATATCCGTTCGGACTTTCGGACGCTAGCCCAAACACACATTTATAGTTCACAGTGCACAACGATAGGATTCCTCCAAATTTCTTACGAGACAAACCATTCTATAGGGATTTCATAGAATAGAATTTATAACAACCCAAACCCTTGTTTCGAAGGGCTACAAATAGGGATTTTTTCCATATTTGCTTTGTTGTTCCAACTATTCTATTTTGTGGGTTGCCGTTATTATTTTATTGCCACAACATCCCTTTAATCCTACTCAAATAACGGGGCTAGCTACTAGTTGTCTGGTGGCTGTGATATATCCTCTTGAAACGTACTGTCTGTCCTATTCCACTACGGCACAGCTTCAGTTTTGACATTTGGTTAATGATGAACCGAATCAGAAACTCTGATGGAAGCACCTGATGGATGGATCCGCGGTATAATGGCATCAGTTCCTCACGAATCATCATGCAATCGAGGCCAACACAAGAGATGGATGCTTGCCACGTACAGACGTGCTGATTAAACCTAACAAAAGACGTACTGATTTGGTTGTTGTATATATTACTTATCTGATGATTGTGGTCCACTGGATGACTGGCGGCCCGCCGGCGCTACCCAGGTCGCATGCATGCAGTTGTTTCCAGTTTTGATTCTGCTGCGCAGGAGCTGGCATCCGTGTTGCCGACGGAGGACGACACATTGGCGAAGCCATGCATATGCATGACTGCAGACGCACGCGTGGCTTGCGGCCGGCAGGGTGCCCGCCGGAGAGCTAGCTCTTGTTGTCGGAGCTTAGCTTAGCTTAGGTAGCACACTACCGTACCAGCTGGCCACCACCGTCTCCTATATGTGCAGGTGCAACATGCAACTATCCATCTTCCTTCGCGTGCAGCGCGGTCCTAGGCTAGCTTGTTTTGTTTTCTTTCTTTCTTTCTTTCTAAAATGGCACGAGCCAACGCTGGATGAGAATTCATCGCACGGTCTTGTTGCATATTCTTCTACTCAAATATACCTGTAGTCATAAATCATGCTAATATTTGTCGAGGCCTTACAGTTTTATGCGCTTGACCGGAATTCCGTAACGAATTTCCTGGAGAATTCGTGGATTCCGGTCCCCACGGCACGACAGCCGTGTTGCGGCCTTTCCCCTGAAATCTGGGACTGTATGCCAGTCTGCCACGCACATGTACGCAACGCAAGGGCCGTTGTAACCGCCTCCACTGCAAGCGGTGGCGGGAAAGCTTAACGTACGTAGCAAGAAGACGCGCGCGCGCGCTTTCAGCATTAATCAAAAAGCAATTGCGCTAATTACTAAAGCAGTGGAGCAAGAAACAAACTAAACAAAGTACTAAACACTCGTGGCCTCTCGATCGGAATATTCCCAAGAACAGGATCGATTCGGTCGACGGATACCTGGATTTGTGGTGTGCACCCGGCGATCTCAAGGCCAAAAGCAGAATTAGGCCTTGCATTTGACGCCATCAGAGCGCATTAAGGAAGGGCACGGTGCCGTCTCCCCTGCGTAACGTCCTGCATACGTGTTGCATCCGCCAATTCCGGCCGCGTCGTCGAGCTGCCATGGCCCATGGGTGCTAGTGCTACGTCGCCTAGCTAGCTTCCCTATAAATGCATCGCCAATGCCGGTCCAACGGATCCGCGCTCGATCAGCCTCAGAGCAAGCTCTCGTCTCAGTCCCAGCTCTCGATCGTTTTCCTCTGCTCGCTCTGAAGTCTGAACAATAAATGGCGGCGAGCAACGGCGCCCCTCTGGTGGTATTCGACTTCGACAAGACCATCGTCGACTGCGACAGCGACAACTGGGTCGTCGACGCCCTCGGCGCGACCAGCCGGTTCGACGAGCTCCTCCGCCACCTCCCCTGGAACCACGCCATCGTAAGTGCCGTCCGCTACTGGCTGCACAATCCTGCCTGCATGCTCTGTTTTCACGGATTTCGAATCGTCGTCGTTTGATTTGTCAATCCATCACTGAAGAAAGGAGACTGAACAGTTGCGATTCACCGATCGATCCACCTGGCTTGGCTGCAGGATGCGATGATGGGCGAGCTGCACTCGGAGGGCAAGACGGCGGAGGACATCAGGGGCAGCCTCACAACGGCGCCGCTGTCCCCGCACGCCGTCGCCGCCATCAAAACCGCCTACGACCTCGGGTACGCGTTACGTGCTGCCTGCCGGCCTGCGCTGCGCATGGCCGCATGGCGCATGGCCGACAGTTCTTTCTTGATCCTCTCCAGATCCTCTGCTTGGTGCGTGCAGGTGCGAGCTGCGCATCCTGAGCGACGCCAACGCCTTCTTCATCGACGCCATCCTCGCGCACCACGGCCTGGCCGCCTACTTCTCCGGCACCGACACCAACCCGGCCCACGTCGACGCCGCCGGCCGCCTCAGGATCCGCCCCTACCACGACTTCGGCGCCGGCGCACACGGCCACGGGTGCGCGCTCCCGACCTGCCCGCCCAACATGTGCAAGGTGATCACTGCTGACCCACGTACGCACCACCGTCCAAACTCCACAGATGCGTGCTCTTGACGCCCATCATATATGTCACTTGCTTTCGTTCAGGGTAAGGTGATGGAGAGGATCCTCCGCCAAGAAGAAGAAGAAGAAGCAGCCGCAGCTGCCGCCGCAGCCTCGGCGGCCGGCTCGGCGAAGACGCAGAGGCGGAGGAGGGCCGTGGTGTACCTGGGCGACGGCCGGGGCGACTACTGCCCGTCGCTGAAGCTACGGGAGGGTGACTACGTGATGCCGCGGGCCGGGCACCCCGTGTGCGACCTCATCGCGGCCTCGCCGCCTGCCGCCGCCGTCCGCGGGTGGGCCGGCTTCGAGGACCTCGCCAGGGTGCTCCTCGGCATCGTCGACGCCGAGATCGCCCGCGCCGCCGCCGCGGAAGAAGAAGACGCTGGCGCTGCTGGCGCGGGTGTGGGTGTGGGCGTCGTCGTCGTGCCGGCGGACTGCCGCGCGCTGCCCCTGCCGGCGCGTCAGGAGGCGCTCATGCCCCAGGCGGTCCGCGTGCCCAACTGATCATCGTGTTCTGGTACAGGTGGATGCGTGGACAATGCGCGCCAAATTAGTACAAGTATTAATAACTCCAGGCTCCATGGATTGTGCTGAGTGCTGACGACTGGATCATGCTGGAAATCTGCTGCTTCGCCTGAAACTGAAAGCCAGTTAATTGCTGGTTTCTTCAGTATGTACCATGATATATATACTAGTACTAGTGTCCACCCAAGATATTCCCTTGCTGCTCGATTCTGAGTGATTCGTTGCGTCAGGCTAATTAACCTTCATCTTAAAAATCGACCAAAATCAGAGACGCGGGCAAAACGGGACAAAAGTGATCGTAGGAAGAGCTAGAAATGACCGGCTTAAAATGGCATGGATTTTTAAGGTCCAACGTCCAAAGCATTGGAGCAGCTTCCACTGGGCCTTTTTAATTGAGTCGATTGTGTCTTTCTTATTGGGCCTACGGTGGTTGCAATAGAGAATAGGCTTGGGCCAAAACCTGACGACTTGTGGAGAGCAATGGAAACAAAGGCCCGTTCGCGTGCCTTAAATCCGACTTGAGCTGTTTCTTTTTTTTTATTCGAAACAGTGTTTTTCTCTCATAAATTTCTCCAGATTCATTTCGATTCCTCCCAGTGAACGGGGTCAAAGAAATGTTGACCTCGACGAAGATGTTGCTCAAAAAAAAAAAAAATCGTTATTCTCACAATCCCTTTGTACTTTGCACGTTCAACTAACAGATTATGCGAAACGTATCTACGTCCGCTGTAAACTCAACTTTGCTAATGCCAGCCATGCACCTAACCCAAAGTCATCTATAAGTGTTTTGCGGACATAGATAAATCTCGTTCCGTCACGTGTCAACTCTTTTGGATTAATATTTACTATCATTCTGAGACGAAAACCAATATGATTACCTCTTCAGTCAGAGACGAAAACCAACAGTATACTGATACAAGTTACTGTATTACTCAGAAGCTAAACAACCGAGAGACGGGCGGTCCTTCGACTTAAGAAACCGTCGACCCTGCTTCTTGCGGCGCACGACGCTCGGCACTGGAAACACTCGAATCCGTCTCGAAGAGATCCTCGTATGTTAACACGAGGATTCCTTGATTCTATCTGCCAATGTTCTCATTTCTCTTTTTAAATCTCTCCACCGTTATCGACATATTTAAGTTGGAATTGATTCGTTTTCGATATTACCATAAATCTTGTTTTCATTCACATTCACGGTCTTCGTAGTACAAAGTAAAAGTGAAAATATGATATGATTTGTCTTGATCGAGCCCGTTCGTTTCCATTCACAGTGATGATCATTGAGCTTTTCATTAGTGTGCCTAGTTTAATCAGAGGCTATTTACAAACACCGGTGTAAAATGTAATAAACAACCGTGGTCATGTGCATCGATGCAAAAGGCAGGAACACCATCTTTATCTCAAAAATCTAAAAATGATCAAAAAGAATTTCAACCCTAGCTATTACTTTTAGACATTATTATTTACAAGGATTTTCGTTGGCATACCAGATACCCACGTGCACAACAAAAACTATCGAGGTAGCATGAACCACGCGTGTCTATTTTACTTTATAAAAAACATTCCCATCTCGACGGCTACGCGCGCCCACCACCAGTCACCAGCCAACTGCTATTCCGCCACGGCCACGGCTGACCGGCGGCTTCCTTTCGCTTTCCGCCGCCGCGTCCACGCGGGCCCACACGGCTCCCACTTACACGTGGGCCCCGCGCCGCTTCATGGCCTTCTGATTCCTTTCCGCCTTCCGCCCCGCGGTCTCCCTTCTCCTCTTCCACCTCAACTCGCGTCGCCTCCGCCTCTCGCTCTCCTCTCGCCGCCCGCGCGACAGGAGGGGAGGGGGAGGAAGCGGGCGGGGGGCGGCGCGGCATGGACGCGCGGGCCAGGGAGGCCGCAGAGACCAGCGGCCCCGGGCTGCCGCTCGCCGTGCGGGAGCTCCTCGCCGGAGGGGTCGCCGGGGGAGTCGCCAAGACCGCCGTCGCGCCGCTCGAGCGCGTCAAGATCCTGTTCCAGGTGCGTCGCACACACGATCCTTGCGCACCAGCGCGGCCGACAAGTTTGTCTTTGACAACGGATAGCGATGTATCTTGGTTCAATGTTGCCGTGGCATAATTTGCCTCTCTGGGGACCGGGAGCTGAGATTCGTTTTCGTGTGGCGGCTGTTCTCGCCGGATCTTGGACGCTGGGTTCTTTCTTCGCTCGCGCACAGTGTTGGGTTCTGCAGTATTATATTTATTGTAATTATAGATGCAAGTTGCGTGATCATGGAATCTTGAATGGCAGGTGAACTTCAACAGTCATGCGACAATCTAGTTAGTTACAGTTTGCTGGAGGTGTCAGGTTGAGGGGATCGGTTCTTTGTAGCCCGTAACTCATTCTTTGTTCTTGGGTAGTATTGTGACCTGAAGGATCTGTATGACATGAAAGGTTTACGAAAGTGGTTGGTTTCTTCGTTCTTGAGATTGAATGCGGTAGAAACATGCTCCATTGGTAAATTAGACGGGAACCTCTGATAAAATATGAACTGGAACAAGATTGCAGCGTCTTGATTGATGTGATCATCATGTGTAGCAGTCTGAGCTTCGATGAAAGGAGATCCCCATTCGGTATTCTATCTTAGATGACTACTGCCTCTCTTTGGTGAACTCCCTGTATTCCGAATTTCCCATGCACATGCTACCTTGTTACTAGATAAATTGATAAACCAGACCTACTATTATGTACAACGGAAGAAAGCGGGGGGTGTGTGTGGGGGGGGGTTGTGTGGAAGTACCAGCCTTGTGGGTGCATACAGCATCCACCGAGACTCCATGCATAGTGCGCCTCAACAGGTGACACGTGTGTATCAGAGACTCCGCTCGGCTTGAGTCATGACGTCAGCCGATGCACGAGCGACTAAAACAACGTGGAGAGGCGCTTGACAACGAACGTAGGATCTGCAGGCTCTCCACGCCTCCTCCATCGGAAAGGGGTATGTACGGAGTTTGGGTGGATGCTGTATCCACCAATTTTTTTTCCATTATGTTACAGCAAACTACTCCTTTTGGGAAGGAAGTTATGTAAGCTTAGCAAACATTCCCAGCAACCTTGATATCAACTTATAACTGTCTGCTAATTTGGCTGATAGTTGGAATTCTTCTTTCAGAAGTGTCTTGTATGTGCATCACATTTAACACTGGTAGCTAAGAATTGCCATCATGAAACTTTGCTTGTTGTCACTGTTTGAAAGAATTATAGTCCAAGTCAATTATTGTCATGCTTTGAACCTGCGCTTATAAAGAGTCCTGTTCCTCTATATCACTATGAATATTAAGTATCCTTCTAATATTTAAAACTATGTTGGAGCTTCCAGACAAGAAGAGCAGAGTTTCGTGGTTCTGGATTGATTGGATCCTTCCGAACAATCTATCGGACAGAAGGTCTTTTAGGGTTTTACAGGTTTGCCTCTCCCTAATTTGCATGACAAATGGTAGTCTATTAGTACATGTTGCACACTTGAGCTTGACTTTTGAATTGTCTTTCCTTAGGGGAAATGGAGCTAGTGTTGCTCGAATTGTTCCTTATGCAGCTTTGCATTATATGGCATATGAAGAATACCGCCGGTGGATCATTCTTGGCTTTCCTAATGTCAAGCAAGGGCCTGTTCTTGATCTCGTGGCCGGATCGATAGCTGGAGGAACAGCTGTCATATGCACATATCCTCTTGATCTAGTCCGCACAAAGTTGGCTTATCAGGTTGGCATCCTTCGCTGAACTGGAAAACCACACTTCTGTTGGATTTCAAGTCACATTTGCTGTACTGTGTATCAACATATTCTCTGAAAAAGGATATTATTAGCATAATTTACTTATGAACATATGTCCCATTTGATTGTTTATACCTTTCTAATTAGTTGTCCTCTCTGCAGGTAAAAGGTGCAGTGAATGTGGGTTTCAGAGAATCTAAGCCCTCTGAACAGGTTTATAAAGGGATCATGGATTGTGTCAAAACAATATACAGACAGAATGGATTGAAAGGCATATACCGTGGCATGGGTATGCATGTATTTGCATTTCACTCTTTTCTCAAGGCCAGTTTCTGATATACACCCAGCTATTAACTAAAATGTATTGTTCTTCAGCTCCTTCACTATATGGAATCTTCCCTTACTCTGGTCTTAAATTCTACTTCTACGAGAAGATGAAGAGCCACGTTCCTGAAAAACACAGAAAAGATATCATAGCAAAGCTTGGTTGCGGATCAGTTGCAGGTTTGCTAGGTCAGACAATAACATACCCCCTGGATGTTGTTAGGCGGCAAATGCAGGTATTGTTTTGCTCATAGCATGTGGCAATAAAGCATTTATATGTTCTAAATAATACGTGGCGCATCATTTTCAGGTTCAAGCACTTTCATCATCCAGCCTTGTGGGTAAAGGAACATTTGAAAGCCTGGTTATGATTGCGAAACAGCAAGGTTGGCGACAACTATTCTCAGGATTATCTATCAACTATTTAAAGGTGAGATATTTCCTTTACTGTTCCAGTAAAAGTTTATTTAGTTGTTTTTTCCTTTCTAATTTTGGCTGCTAGACGAATGTGACAGGTAAGCAGAAGCTGTTAAAACAGTGCAATTCCCATGGTCTTGACTGTAGAACTTGACTTTGGCTGAAGTTCTGATTTGTATTGTCCCTGGTCTCCAAAGTTATTTCTTCATTTAAGAACTTGCCTTTTGATGTCAATTAATTAATTAATTTAGCTGAACAATGGAGTTAGAATGTTTTACCAAGGGCTGTGGTTCTGGTTGTGTGATCACTATTTACTAGTACTGCTATTTTAATTTGGAGTTTGGGCACATCTGCATGTTTTCCTTTCTCTTCTGTGCTCCTGGCATAATAAAAGAAAAAAAAAAGAGTGCCTCACATGATCTGCATATATTATTGATGATATGGTTATGAGTTATGAGTACTGCATACATAATGTTTATCTCTCAATACTAAGTCAGTAAAGTAAATATGCTGAGTTTAATGTTCAAATATACATCTTACACTTGCTTTCACAGGTGGTGCCATCAGTAGCCATAGGATTTACTGTTTATGACTCAATGAAGGTCTGGCTAAAAGTTCCATCAAGGGAGGACACTGCTGTTGCTGTCTTGACAGATGAACGAAGTAATACAGCTCCTATCCCCTCCAGTTAGAATGTGTCTTTAACTCTCTTGGTGATGTGATGCGATGCTCCTTTCTGCCTTACGATTCATAAGGCGTGTAGTATAGCATTCTTTGTTGGAGCTGCATCACCATAGCTACTAGTCTTATCCAATGCATTGGAGAAAATAAATTCGACCATTATCAATAAGCGCCATAGGCAAGTCGTCGATGCCAAGAAAAGCATTGGCGTTTAACAGGAGGAATAGAATTCCAGGCGGATTAGCGTTTCTCTTTGTGGAATTCCACCCTGTACAGACTCTGTATATAGCCGAATAGCTTGTGTCAAACAGAGAAGCTCTTGGAGAAAGTCGGAATTCAGAGCAAACATTGCTTGTGTTCATGCTTTGGATCTCCTACTGTCATAAGCTTCTTACAGTAGGTTCGAGCCTGCAGGTTTGACATGTATGCGTCCCCCTTTTGCAACGAGTACAAAGAATCTATGCCTTGCATTCCCCACCCTATTGGATTCTTGCGGGTTGCACAACACGGCATCTAGGATTTTGGTCGGATTCCTTCAGCCTGTTCGATTGGCTGATCTTTCCTAATCAAATTCACATTTTACAGTTGAAGTTTGTAGGAATGTACTACTATCCAGTTAACTTGGGTAAGGAAAACTCGTGTTCTGCTCCACTATTTACGACGAATGAAAAAAGAAGGGCAAGGCTTCAGCTTTGCAGACTGGAATTCAGACATTCACCATGTTCGCTTTGCAGACTGGAATTCAGACATTCACCATGTTCGCTGATTGGTGCTGGTGCTGGTTTAGGTTAGCTGGTGCTGATTTTTTATAAGAGAAAAATACTGTTGGCTGATTGAATAAGACTGACTGAAACCAACAAACAAACATGGTGATTGTATGCTTACCGCAACTGCCTTTGCATTGTGGTTACTCGTCTCAAAAACTTTCAAAAAAAACCATCGCTTGAGGCCTACTTTCAAAAAAAAAGTTGTTCACGCAAGAAGGAACGGTAAAGATTTTTTTAGTACAGACGTACAGTACTGGTATGTACCACTACAGCAGGGCGTGATCATTCGCGTCACGCGGAAGGCTATGCCATATCCCAGAACCTCAGTTTTGCATTGCCATGTGCAGGACCTCGATGCTTCACCTGCATAAGCCACCAAGTAATATTAGGCCATGTTTAGTTTAAAAAAAAGTTTTTTAAAAAGTGCTACAGTAGCCATCACATCGAATCTTGCGATACGTGCATGGAGCATTAAATGTAGATGAAAAAAAACTAATTGCACAGTTTGATTGGAAATCGCGAGACGAATGTTTTGAGCCTAATTAGTCTATGATTAAACACTAATTGCTAAATAAAAACGAAAGTGATACAGTAGCTAAATTCTTAAATTTCGCCCAACTAAACACAGCCTTATCTTCAATCGCAAGATAAATCTATATATTTTTCTTTAATCAAACCTTTTCCCATTTTATTATTGACAGCTAGAAAATGGTACTCTCTTGTCTCAAATAGTAGTTCGTTTTAGCTTAGGTATATAATTTTCGTTATGCACATTAATGTTTGTTATGTTCTCTTGAGAATTGCTCCAATACTCCCTCTGTTTAGGAAAAAATATAATTCTAGCACAATGCCAAGCTAAAGTGTCTTGAGTTTGACTAACTATATATAAAAAATATTAATATTTATAATATCAAATTAATATTTTATCTATATATTTGGTCAAACTTTAAACATATATAAATAAATAATACATCTAGAATTGATTTTTTGGACGGAGGTAGTATTTATAAAAAAATCTATAATTTAGAATAGAGGTAATATAAATTGATTGATGACACAAGGGTGATGTTGTAAGGAACCTAAAGGAATAAGGGAGGGGGGATTAAAAGAACTAGGTCAATCACATACAAATGCTCCGTTCGCTTGGCTAATAAGCTATGACTGAAAATACCGTGAACTGATTTGTTGTGAGAGAAAAATATTATTTGTTAACTAAAAAAGTATGGCTTATAAATCAAACGAACATGACGAAAATCATTTAGCAGTTAAGGCTAGTTTGACGTGGCTCCTCTAAAAAGACCGAGTACTTGAGGAGTCACTTTTTGCAATCCGACTCTCACTCTTCCATTGTTTACTAGAAAATAATTGATTCTGCTAAAGTGTTTCGTACGGCTCCTTCAGAGAAGCTGCCGCTGAAGTTGGAGCCGAAGCTGTCAGTAGGCCCTTAATTCGAACGTGCAATGCTACCCCCGTATAATTTTTTAAATGTTTACAACCTTCTACCAACTCTATTCTACAAAACCATGCATCGGAAACAAGAAAAAAGACAGTACTCTGCCTTGATTTTTTTTCCGCCTTAGGTGTTTGTTCACCAAAGTTTATCTTTTCGCATTTTCGGATCTAAATCTTCGCACTAGCAAACATTGTTTGTTGTAATAACTATCCTATTGTTAATATTAGAGGGTCGTTGATTTCTTCGGTTACTGGGGCGGAGTACTCACTAGATGACTACAGCTAATCGGCCCTGTTTGCTGCATCTTATCAGCCTGTCTTATCAGTTATGGTATAATATTTTTTTTATAATAAATCAGTGAACATTATTTTTTAGTCTGATTTATCAGCGAAGTGAACAGGGCCGCACATCTCCTGTTTCCGAACTATATCAATAAGGGCAGCTAAAAAGATTGACTTAGCTATAAACATTTTTTTTATATTTTAATAGAATAAAGAGAAAAACTATATTTTTATCAAGAGATAAGCTCTTACATATATTTTAATGTTACGTGAAAATATCATGTGAAGCTATCTATATTAAAAGTTATGTACCAACCGTTAATCGATTACATTAGATTTGGTTGGTCTTTGGTCTTTGGTTTAAATTTGTTGTGGTCTTTGGTTTTTATGAGAAAAAAAACATTGTTATTTGATTAATTTAAATTTGGTGAAACCAACAAACTAACGAGCATTGAATACTTGATAAATTATCTTAACTATCTCTGGCCATTGCGGGTGGCCGAATCACATCTCCAAACGCCAAATATCTGACAAATTGCATCACTGGCAAAAACAAGTCTTTTTATTAAAAAAAATGAACATAATAGTGTGCAGAAAGGCAACAATAATGTATGCGTGCATGCAGTTCAGGCGCAGCAGCTGCACAGGTAGCTAGGGAGCAGTGCAGTGAGCGAGGGAGGGGGCAGGCTACGGTCCATAGGCTACTGCCTTGCACCTTCTTGCGGTGGATTACCTCCATGTGCAGTGCAGAGTGCCGTTGCAGGCGTAGGCGTGCAGGTGCAGCCCTAAAATTGGCCTGGGTACACGAAACACACCCACCACTTTGCATCAGCTCGGTGAAAAATGGAAACGATAACAAGTTCGGTCGGTGGTTGACTCCATCTCAATCTGAAATCGGAAAAGGGTACTAGTTTATTACATTTTGTTCATTTTCTGGACCTATTGTTGCTGATTCCAGTTTCAATAAAAGAAAAGTGATGCTAGCAAAACTTGTACACTATGTATATATTTTCAATTGTTCAGGTTTTGGATCATTTGACCCTTTTCCCTTATAACTTGCTGTGTTGATTTTCTCGGGTCATCTCTATGCCATTACAAATTTATCATATCATATGCTGATATGCACCTCACGTTGCTTTATATTTGGATTTTTGTTCTGCAACTGTCTGCCATTAGGCGTCTGATTTCGAACGCTGAGGCTGCGATTGCTGTCTGGGCTTTACCACAAATTTAATAATCATTTTTTTTATCGTGGTAGGCATGCTTAGCAAAGATTAGCAACGGTACACTACCAAAGTTAAGCTTCATGAAACAAGCTAAGAAATAGGCTAAGGAGGAGCGCCCTGCCTCCATACAGAACAGCACGCGACCAGGTATGCCTCCTCTCGTGTCTTCCCCAGGGTAGAACAGTAAACAAAATACTTACTACTTCGTGGTTAAAAAAACAAATCTAACTTATCAAACGCATGAATATTTATGACACTAAATAAGTATATTATAAAATATTTTATAATAAATCTAATGCTACTTATTTTGTATGACATCATTAATATCTTTGTGTATCGGTGATGTGCCTCAACGTGCATGTGATGTGCTTTTTTTACACAATGATTTATTAGTCGAAACTTAGTATTAGCTCCGTCTCTAAAAAAAAATATAATTTTAATACTACCTATCAATTATGTTATAATTATTCTACGGACTGAGGGGTAGAAATGAGGCCAAACCAAAGCGGACAAGCCTTCGGCCGCTCCGGGCTCGCTCAACAAGAGAATTGAAGCGTCCCTCTCCCTCCGTCCGTAGCCAAACCTTTCATCTGTTGCAAGGCAACACGTACCTGTTCGCTCCGTTTATAAACCGTAATTTTTTTTTCAGACAATAAATAATATTTTTCTTTCATAACAAATCAATCAACAATATTTTTAAACATGCTTTATCAACCAGTCGAACAGTACAACAACAAACAGTGTGCCTCTTTTCAGTTTCCAGTGCCCCTCTCCCCATGCTGCTACAGTGCATGCCAATGATTATACACGGGGCCCATGACTACCCTACTGTAAAATCTTCGGCTATTGCCCGTTGCGTGTAAAACCGCCCGACCAGTTCGTTCTACCGAAGATGCATGCATGTTCCATTCTCTCGTAAACTAGCTGATCAAATGCATACGAGTTAGAGCGAGGTTAATAATAGAGTTACGGGCTTGATTATAAGTTAAATTATACGATAGGTATCTCCTATTTATCTTAAAAATGTATCGTTTGTGTAGCAGTGGTAAGAAGTATCGTTACATGAATTATAGAGTATATTTTCGTAATGAATATATTCCATATATAAATTTTATACTATTTTTCTACAAATCTAGCTAAAATAGTTACTATTTCAACTAGCAAGGAAATTGCATTATTAGTTTTCTCTCGGAGTAGCATCAGATCAAGCGGGACCTACTCCTGCCTTTCCAAAATAAAAGTCTTTATCACTTTTCAATGAATCAAACGCTTTGTGAACTTTAA